AAGATTCAGACGTCGATTCGGCTGTGTCTGGTGCAATGATGGCGAATTTCTATAGTCAAGGGCAAGTATGCAGTAATGCTAGTAAGGTATGCATGTAATATATTTTTTTTCCATCTCTCAAATGCATGAAGACTCACACATACAGTGTGTAGGTGTGACTAAGCTTTTGTGTCGGTTGTCCGCGAACTAATGATATCTCTGGAATGGTGGTAGTTGTCGTAATTTGCTAGATGATAGATGTAAAGCATCGCTAAACTGAATCGTAGGTACTGGTACATCGATCGATAGTCGATGAGTTCGTCTCGAAGCTGCGCGAGAAGACGTCCGCTATGCGCGTTGGGGATCCGCTTGAGGAAGACACGAAAGTTGGCGCGCATATCTCACGACAACATATGGAAAAAGTCAAAAGTTATATTGATGGTCAGTTTGTAAGTTCGTCGGGAATATAGTTGTTGGGTGACCGCCAATTTTTAGGTATTTGGATAATTTTTTGGGTGCGGTGAGCTCTTAATTGCTTTTGAACTATTATTACTCTTTTCATTCTAACATATCTTTGTTAAACTCCTTCTCCACCTTCTCCTCCCTTTCTTCCCATTTTCTCTTTATGGATGGACCTGAGAACGTTGTGATTATCATTATTCCTCATTGTAATCTCTCTGCCGAGCTTCCTACCCTCTCGGAGAATTTCCTTACAATCTCTGCAGAGCGCCATCTGTCAAAGTCCACCATTTTTGCACTCTGTAGATGAAGTTACGCATGGCAGATCATTTTTTTGATAATTTTCCCGAATTTATTTTTGTTTAATTCATTTTATGATATTTCATAACTCTCTCTTCCAATCAAATCTTCTTAATGCTATCTAATTCAAATTTTCTCATTTCCATCGTTGTGAATCTTGCGCTGAAGAAGGGGGACCGTAGCTGTAAAAAAATCTTCATGCGAAGGGCGCGCTACTCTATATCTTACGGGTAGTTAGCAAGTTGTATGTAATCTTTGAGTTTGTGACCACGAAAATTCAATTGAAAAAGGACATCTGTGTTGTTGTGCTAGGAATTTGATTAGAAGCTTTTTGCTCTCAGACGGTAAGTTTGATTAGTGAAAAGGACATAAATGAAGCGGATGTAGCCTTTTAACCTTGATTTCAAATAAATGGAAATATCACAATAGGAAATGAATAGGCTTAGGAAAGCTACGCGGTGTAGAAGAGTTCTGCTATGGTCGTGGAGTGAGCCTGAATACATTATTGTGCGAAGTGCATCACACTAGGAGCATAGCTGACTCCGACGGATAATGATTTCAAGCACAGCCATATGCACCAGCGTTATGAGGTCGAGAAATATCAATAATTCTGGAAAAAAAACATTTGGGCTGTTGGATAAGTATAAGCATTTTTTGTTCATCGTGAAAAGTCAAGAAATTGGCCGACGTTATTATATATCGTGCAAAAAAAGTGGATTCTGTTCCACATTGTCGGTTAGATTTGCTTTTTGACTCAGAAATCCTCAGGCTGGAAGTTTTTTATTGTCGGAAAGCAGGAAAAGCAATAAAGCACTTTTCTTATTGTATGAGAAAACCAAAATTTATTATATTTTCATACAGGATAACTGATATGCTAGTTACATAAATAATATCTCTTCTGAACCTTAGGCGCA